CTCACATAGCAGCAGGCATCTCTGCACCTTATCAGCTCCATCCCATCAGCAACAGCGATCCGAGCTGATGACAACTGAGTTTCTGTTTGTGTGAAGTTTGATTTAGTATGTATCAGGTTCAGCCTGGTAATGGATATGCCTTTGACGCATTTTTGGGAAGAAGTGATAGCCATACTAAGGCTGACAGGAAGTGACGCCATACTGACAGGTTGTCAACCCGGAGACAACTTGTCAAACCAGCCCATGTACACACTCGAAACGCGCACAGCAAACACTATGTTATCTACATCTAGAAATATCCGGGAAATACAGGGTTTTGGAAAGTCAAACAAACACATGCAAATCAGCCCATCTGATGGATTTTGTGGCTGCTGCAGTTGGGACGACACTAACTGGCTCAACTATTTCAGGACATTGTGCTCTGAACTTTGACTGGATGACTTTGCCTCTTGCTCCCACAGCTCACAGTCAGCGATGGAAGCTCGAAAGCCGGCACCTCCCATTCTGCCCCACATCCATTCAGATGAGACGAATGTCTGCTTGCCTTGTCCCTGATGTCTCATGGAAGGAGAAAAATATTCTGAGGACGCTCTGAATTGCTTCAGAGACACTGGGAGGAAGGAGGGGTGTGTGTATGTGTGTGCGTATGAGAGGCCGTTTTTGTGTATGTGCGTGTGCATACGAGGTGGAGGAAGAGGAGGGGGAGGTTGGCGGTTGAGCAATGTGATTTCTGCTCGACTGTCACAAATCTAGCGCAACAGGAAAATCAATTTGGCCCTGTGTGTGCCTTTTTGGCTCCGGGAGAGAATCCAAATAGCAAGGCGAGGCCCGGATAATGTTACAGTGTATTGGATTTGCTTCATGGAGAGACAGGGACAGAGTGAGCGAGAGCAAGAGAGAGGGGGGGGGAGAGAGAGAAGAGGAGACAAGAGAATCACAGGCATGCTGTGGAGCTCCGACAAGATAGATTTGTGCAAGTGTATGGGTGTATGATAGGCTGGCAATCTGTCAGTCTCCCCCCGTCTGACTTTTTTTCTAAAACACACACACACACACACACAAACAACACTGTAGCTCATCCATGCGAGCAGGTATAGGTGATTTATATGTGTGACCATATATGTGTAGTGTGAAATAAACTGTTTATAGGTATGTGTGCTGAAGTGCTGCTATGTGTGCTTTACCTGCCTTTTTCTACGTGTGTGTGTGCGTGTGTGTTTGACAGCCAGGTGAAAGGATGACATGATGAAATTGCTCTCCTCTGACCGCTGTCAAGGGTAACGTGTATGCCGTGAGTGCTCAGCTGTGTGACATGTCGCATCACTCCACAGAGGGAGGCTGACCGGTGACAGAATAACGCACAAGCACACACAGTTTTGTTTGTATTTAAACGAAAGATCCACACTAAAATACTTTAAAGAGGATCTATTGTGCTTTTCTCTATTTTCTGTCATTTACATAATGTGGGATGTCCATATTAAACATGGCCAAAGTTTAACAGGCTGCTCTGAACACTTGGTTTGCAACATTTCTCTTCTTTTGCAAGGTGCTGATGTCAGCTCCCCGGCTCCTCCAGGCCGCGTGTAGAAGTGCCCTTGGGCAAGATACTGAACCCCACATTGCCCCTGATGGCTGTTCCATCGGTGGACGTGTTAGTGAATGGTTGAATGTGGCAAGTATTGTAAAGCGCTTTGAGTGGTCAGTAAGACTAGAAAAGCACTATATAAGTCCATTTACCATTTACTTCAGTCTGCATTTTAGCACATCCCACACATAAAACTATTAAAAGGGGAACATATAGAAAAATGTTTCTATACGGATTGTGATTGAAAGACTAAATCCACTGTTATGTCACACAACAAGCAGGTAATGGGCCTAATATTTACTGAACAGAGACGTCCTGCTGTAATCTTTGTTGGTTGCTTGAATATGCTCACTCTCATATTACAGATGGGTTTGAAAAGTTGCCATTTCCAATTGATTTAGTTACTTTTTTCTTTTTTTTTTTTTTTTTTACAGTTGCTTTCAGAAGGTAAGAGGACAAGCACTTGGTGCTTCTGGACGTTGGCCAATCAGAAGAAAGTTGGCTTTTAAGCAGGTCTCTTAAGGAGGTCTGAGCTAATATTGCCTGTTTCAGTCAGCAGCTCAACTGAGGGGTTGCATAACAAGCAGTATAAAATAAATGAGTTTTTTTTTTTTCAACTGTGAATCATGCAAAGCTACTCTAGTGGAGTCCCAGAATAAAAATATAGAGCAAGAAATGAGCATAACAGGTTCCCTTTAAGACTCATGCGGCTACAGTTTTTCTTTGTATTTTCCTGTATGTGGATACTTGCCCAAACTGACAATATGACATCACATTTACAGCACAGCTACAGTGGAGTTTACAGAGAAAAAAAAAACTACCTAAATCATTAATGCAAACAGCTGATTTTGATGTTGGTCATGGGGCAGAATCCATTATAGAAGAGACTGCTAATTCCAATTTCTCCACTGACAGCAGTCTTAATGGAGCAGAATGCAATGCAGCTGCAAGATATGGTGTGTTTTGACTTTTACTTGACTGGAGCTCAAACTACCGCAGATAAAAACAGTTTTAGTTTTTCACACTAATTAATTAGCTTATTAATGTTTGTCTTATTTTGTTTATTTTGATGACACTGTTGTTCACAAAACTGCTTTAAATAATGAGGAATGTGTGTTTTTTTTTTATGGCTACAGACTGAGACTACTGAAGATACAAATCTCAGAAAACAACACACACACACACACACACACACACACATGAATACACTGTGTTGCTTGTTAAGTCCCTTGCTCCCTCCTGTCCTCACTGACTTGTTCTGAACTATGACGACAACATTAACCAAAGTGTCCTAACTTGTGATGAAGCGTTAGAAAGCAGAGCATTAGTAATCAGATGTGTGCTAACCACATTAGTTCTCCTGTGTCTCTCATAGGCTGGCTGCTCCTTGATCTAATTCAAACTGATTGTAGTACAGCCGCTAAAACATGCCAGATGTTACTCACTGCTCCATGCTTTATCACCATTTATTTGGCATGGGGAATATTTTAAAATATTTTCTTATTAATCATGTCCCAGCGATCGGTTTCGCTTCCCATCTTTGCCGCCTCATTCCGGATTCTTGTCATGATTCTTGGCACGAGCGCCTGGAAACCCACTGTCCCAGTTTTTCATTAGCGTCAATCACTCTGGTAAGCGGCTGCGAGGAGAGGAAAGGGAGGAGGAGCTGGCGTCAGGTTCTCAACTCAAGACATTTTGCCCCGCCTCGTCAGAGTGACTGACAGGTCTGAGATATGCTGATGCGCCGGTCAGTCACTCAGTTGGGCAGAGAGGTGGTGGGATGACGGGGAGGCCAGGAGGGAACGGCATGTACGCAGACACACACTCATTCACACGGCCTGTCTCAGGGAAATCAAATCCACACTTGTTTATAAAGTGTTTATCTAAACGGTTATGTGGCCTCAGGAGACAAACAGGCGCACCCTGCATTGTCTGATAATCCTGTTGGTGTCTTGTTTGGCCTGCCATATTTTAGATAAGGCTACAAATCGGATGGGAGGTCCTCCACCAAGAGCTAGTCTCAATTCATTAACACTCAGAGTGAAGAGGAAATATTGTCTGGACATAAATGTTGGAAATACTTGTGCAATCCACAGGTAGCAGGGAGATGGACTCTATTAAAATTCCACTGCAATATAGGGACATGTTCCTACAACACAGTGATCAAAGACTTAACAAATCCCCACAATGCAAAGACAAAAACCGTGTGAAGAAAATGAATGAGACACATTCCATGAAGTGCTCCGCACTAAGCTGTAATATTCGTCTGAATCAGGATTTCAAATGGACCAGAGATAAGAAAGTCTAGACAAGCTGGATTGATATTATTTGGTCTTCTGCTGAGGCGTACACTCGGCTTCATCCTCTGTCCTAACTGGCAGAATGAAAATTGATCTGGATGGATTATATAGTGAGTTGGAGACGAGAAAAAAAAAGATGCTGTTAGACCAAGATGTTGCAACCAGCTATGGGTCATCCAGGCTGCTCTAAAAAGAGGTCAAACCCTGCTCAATTCACACTCAAGGAAAACCTCAGTGGATATGTTTACATGGAAAATATTATAATGGATAACCATGTTAAATTAAGACTGATTATGTAGAAAAAACAAGTTCACCCCTGTTTTTCCTTGTCTGATTTATTTGCCTGTTTGGTCATACAAAGGTGTAATGCAAAAGCTTTATCCTTGCAATACACTCTCAGACTGCAAACACACAATACATTTAAATACTGGAATGCTGTTATTTGTGGAAACATGTATACCAATTCTGCGCCAGGGTCAGTTTTCTACATGACCTTTTTAAAATCCTCTTTAAATGCACATATTTAAAAACAAATGAAATCAGGCTCTGGTCTTTAAATAGCAAAATAAATGGAAAGGTCAAACAGAAATGTAGGTGTGATAACTGTGAAATGCTTTCAGCAGCAACAGGTTTACTAATGGCAATGCCTTAAAGATCCTCCAAGGACTATTATTATCAAACAGAAAATAAACACTGAAAAACATCTGGTGAGAAACTCTCGATGGCCACACCCCAATCAGTGATGTCACAGCAGCTATTTTTCATCAGCTGTCAAAGGCAATACGCCTGGTGTGACATCACTGACTGGGGTATGTTTGTGATTGTTTTCTAATTTGGTTTCAAACAGCAGCCTCTTGTTTGGTGGCACAAAGCAATTTCCCCTTAAGCTGTAAAGCAATTTTGCAAATTTCCCAGGGAATCTAACTTGGCGGTACACGATGTAAAATGCAGTGCAGTGTCTGGTTCCAGTAGCAAATCTTGTCAGTGATAGTCTTGTTTGTTTGCGGTGATTAAACTAATAAAGTTATGCTACAAGTTGCACCTTTCATCAAGATAAAATGAGATTATCGAGATTCATGTGCACATACTTTTAGTGGCTCTAATGGCAATCCTACCTGGTACGGCGGTGTTGGCAGAGGGTCCGCTGGCAGGAGAGATGGGTCCAGAGCCAGATCGGGACTGCTGGGACTGAGTGGAGCCTGCGGGCGAGCCAACAGGGGAGGGAGAGGGGCCGCTCCGCTGGCTGGGGAGGTGTGGGGAGGCGTGTGGGGAGAAGGGGGACTGTCCCTGGTTACTGGCGCCTCCCTGCTCCCCCTGGCTACTACTGCTGCTGCTGGAGGAGCCACCGGCGCTGACGGCTGAGCCCAGACCAACCTCCGTCCCTGTGGGGAGGTCATCAATCGAGCCGGACAGATCCTGGAACAGAAGAAAGGACTTACAGTGAGTATTTATAAAGCTCACCCAAGCATTTTATGAGAGGTGACATGCAGCAGGTGGCAAATTTAAACTCAAGCAAGCACAAAATTTCCCCAGTTTCTTATTATGTCATAATGAAATAGTACCATTGCAACTATTTCAGCATGGTTGAATATGATTATATGGTTAAAAGACCAGATTGTATTATCTATAAAAGAAAAAAAGGAAAAAGCAAACATATTTCCATTGTTTTCATAAAGCACTACAGGTTAAAAGGTTAAAAGTTTACATGTGCATGAGCAGTGTTTGCCTTTTCTGTGACCTGCTGAGGTAGTGACAGCGGTTAATATGGCAGGGGAGCAAAAACATTAACCACAGAAGAAGCCACCACTGTACACTGCGGTGCAGTGGTAAAAATGAATTGTAATGGGCTTTCATTCAGACCAAGGGTAAGTTCATATTACAGTTTTCGTTCCCTGTGGTGAGCAGAGGATTGTGTATTTGTGTGTGTGTGAGAGAGAGAGTGTGTGTGTGCTTAGTAGGTACTCCCCCTCCTGAATTGATTCCAGGGATTCCCCACCAATACTGCTGACAGAATTCTCACTGCACAAAAATGGGAGTGAGAAGAGAAAGAGAGATGAAAGAGAGACAGTGGTAGAAGTAAGGAGAATCCAATGTGATGGCTGCCCCCTAACTACACATCACACACATTCAGACACACACACACACACACACACACACACACACACACACACACACACACACACACACACACACAAAAGCGGCTGTGCCCCAGCTGTAGCTGAGTATGGGGGAAGTCACCTGTAAGTGACCCCCCCGGTTTCCTGGCTGGTGCCCGCTTGGGGAGGAAGGGGAAGAGTTGGGGGTGTATGCCAGCTGATCCTACCTGCTATACCAGGCCTGTTGACCCTCCACTCCTGTCCCACCTGAGCCCCGTGCAACCATTGCTGTTACCGCAGACAGAAATGTGTCTATATGTCACTTAGAGTTTATGTTTATGTCTCAAAATTAACCCAGCAACACCTACACAAATATAAAGGGAATACTGTCACATATTGCAAAAAAACACCTTTTGCATGTTTATTGTAATGTTTTTGTTATGTGATTCTACCTCCTTAATAAGGTCCAGTAACAGATACAGAATAATGCACTCATCACAAGTATGTGACATCAGTCTTTTCTTCTGAAGTCTGGAGGTCAGTGTAATATGGTAATAAGCTAGTGGACAACTGCACAAGAGTCAGACTGTAACAGCTACAGTGAAAACAGTGTCACCCTAAGTTAAGATGCCACCAAATCATGAGAAAAAATCTTATTTTTTCAGACTTCAGTGTAGCCTGTAGATTGAAAAACACAGAGTCTGAATCATATAAAAATAGTCTAATTTAAAATGTTGAATGTTGACAAAAAGATTCAAACTATATACTAAAATCAGCGTTACAAATATCTGTCAAAAAGCCATTTGTTTTGAATTTATGCAGCTCTGTCAAATAGTCGATTTTATGTAAACAGCAGGCAAACACCGTACACTGTACTCATTATCCTAGCACCATGTTATTTCATATAAAAAGTGAAACAGGCATCCCCCATCATCTTTCCATCCATGGATGCCTTAGCCTGTGGAACAGACAACCAAGTCAGTGTGGCAGTCTGTCCATGGCTGCTTGTTTTGGTTAATGCGATCTCGGCGCTGACACACAAAGCCTTTGTTTTCCATCATGCCGCTGTGAGTGCCCACCCGCTCTGCCAGCCTGCCAGTCTGTCACCTGGCATTATCTACCCTCGCACGACTGAGCACATGGGGCACTCGCTTTCCTCTCTCTCTCTCTTCCTCTCTCTCCCTCACCCATGGTACCACTCCCTGTCTCAGCCAATCAAGTCACCCAGTATTCTGAACAGACTGATGTAATGCCCTGCCTCCACCAATAGGGCTGAATGATATTTTCAACCGACCGGCGGCCCCGGGTGAATGCCATTTGACATGGAGGGGTTACCAAGAGAGCCGCTGTAACCATGGCAAAGGCTTTTCCAAAACACAGAGAGCTAGCCGGATGTACCGCTAGGTTGTTAACCCACAGGCTAATTGTGTGAATGGATGGGAATAATTGCATTTCACCTAATTGGGTGCTGTTGCCAGCTTTTCCAGTGGCAGTTTAGGGGTGGGAAAATGCGTACCAGTAATTCGTTTAGAGGCAGTTAGGCTCATTTGGATTATACACACACTTGAGCACAGCTGTGTGGCCTAAGACCAAAAAAGTAGCAGCAGCATATAACATGAAAAGGTGGTAAAGCTTAACACCAGTAGGCTATAAAAATGTCAATTGTAAATACCCAATAAACCCGCAGTTATTACTTATGGTTGCAGAAACACTACCATAAAAAAGTCATTTCACAATGCACCTGCAATATAATGCATTTATCAACACATACACCCTAACTCCATGTCTACACTTAATCCTTGTCAAGGGCCATGGAGCATTTTGTTACCTGGCTAACTGTGTGCTACATAGTCATGTGTAAAGAATCGAAGCCAGCCAGCCAGCCAGCTAACCAGCCAGGCAGGCATGCGGTCGGGGGATCCAAACGCCCAACAATCTGGGGCCCCAATCCAAAGTGGCCCAAATCCAATTTGTTTGGCTCGGGGCTGCAAATTGCTCTGTGCATTGAGTCTCCAAATAGCTGTCAACCACTCCCGCTTGGCGTCCTGTATCGCTTAATTCGCTCCTGGAGCATGTAATTGTCATAATAAGAAAAATATTGAGGTGATAATAACCAGTTACTTTGAGATGCCCCCTGTCTGCCTCAAGACACACACACGTACAGTCGCATGTACGCACATAATGGGCCGAGACTGCCATCTACACATTTCACACAACATTGGAGAGGCAGTCGCTCGTGACCCTTCACCTCGCTGGTGTTGGCGCCTGCCTGCACTCTCTCGTTTAGTGTGCCTCTGTTTGTGTGTGTGTGTGTGTGTGTGTGTGACAGGCACACAGGCTGCAGGACTGTCACAGCAAGACATGCTTGAGCACTGATGCGGCCGAGGGGACAGATGAGGCCACATACACACACGCATCGCACATACACTCCCCATCCCATCTCTCACTCATACTACTGACCTGCTCTCTCTATCTCTCTCTCTCTCTCTCTCACACACACACACACACACACACACACACACACACACACACACACACACACACACACACACACACACACGTACACACACACACACACACACACACTCACTCACCCCAGCAGGGTATAAGGCATCAGTGTGAAGCAGGGAGCTGTCACATCCAGCAGACTGTGGGCCTTTTTCCCCTGACCATGGTGCTGATGTTGTCTCCTCTCACCGCACACTGGGAATTAATCAAAGTTGCTATGGTAGAAGGCACCAAGCGTGTGTGTGAGTTCGTGAGAGAGAGAGAGAGAGAGAGAGAGAGAGAGTGTGTGTGTGTGTGTGTGTTTGTGTGTGTGTGCGAAAGTAGTTCTCTGTCTAGACAGGGAGGAGCCAATAGCTGCAGCTTCCTGTGGACTACAGGAAAGGAGAGCGACAAGAGAAACGAACTATTCCTCTCTCTCTCTCTGTCTCGCTCTCTCTCACACATACACACACAAACACACAAACACACACACACACACACACAGTCTCACATCGAGTATCTATTTTTCTGTCTCTCTCTCTCTGTCTGCCCCTGTCAGAAGTGTAGTATGGCTGAAGGCTCTGCACCAGATGGCTAGCCAGCTAACTAGAGCCTGAAATACAAACTCAAACAGCAACTGAGCACTGTGAGCGGTAACACTGAAAAACAACCTCCCTTACGGCTTCAAACCGCACACAACCAAAACATGGACTTTGCAATACAAATATTATAACTTGATAGCAATTATCCATCTAAAAATTTGATTTGAGTATAGAATTGGTAAATCTATCATATAAGTGACATTACTCTGTTCATACTTTCAAGAAAGGTTTGTACTTCATCGTAAGACAATGTCTTTTTCTATAAAAATATATATATATAAAAAAGCTAAAAATTCACTAATATTCAATGGCCATGCAAGTATATGTTTTCTCTGGCATAACTCTACATGTGTCTAGCCATTCAAATAGTGTGGGTATTATTTTATCCAGGTTATGAGATGTCCATGTCTGAGATTTCTGCTGCCCCTGCAAACACTGGGGGTAAATTGAATTTAGTATCTGGTTCTCACAGCATTGAAATGACATTTAAAAAATTCAACAGCAACATCTCTCAAAACGGTGTTCCTATTACTAGCATGATGAAATACGATGAAATACTACTCACTTCCATTGTCCTGGGGAGGGCAGCAGAAATCTGTTTTGTTAATATATATAATATAGGTGAATTAAACCTTTAAAGGAAATAAAAACAGCAATTTAAGGTTACTGATTTCTAAACAGATGTGAGACGGGTGATTCCATCCTGCTCACTGCATGTTCTCCACCACTTGAAGGTAACCCAAGAGGAATTACCTGACTTGAACACCCTGACTGTCTATCACCGTGATGTTTCTTCTCTAGCCCATGATCTCCTCTCAGGGAAGGTGAGGGGGCTGTGTGGGTGGCCTGTAGTACCAAAATGTACACAGTGCATGTGCAGCATGAATATATACATTTATATGGACATGGTCTACAGTATATCTAAGGATAAGTTCATATTTTTTCAAGTCCGTCTTAAAACAATACCAGCGTAACCACATGTGCATTGAAACAGTTACTGGTTGCTGTAATTGTTTTTCCTCTCCATACTGGCCATGAAAAAAATCCCTGAGCCTGTGTTAGTCAAATCAAGTGGTTATTTGGTTATTTTCAAAAGTTCAAAAGTTATTTTTTAGTACAAAATTTCCTCTTTGTGTTACTATCAGTCCACTGCAGCTCAGCCAGGAAACACTGCCGGGGAAACACAAAGAAGTAATTTTGCAATAAAAAGCCTGTAACTCTTGAAGATACC